TTTAACAGGAGGACATCTCGGAGTTAAGAAGACATTGAGTTACCTATGATAGAGATTTTACTTGATAGGTATGAGACAAGATATGGAAGAATAGTGCTAGAACTGTAGTACATGTTGTGCTAAAAGGGAACCCAAGCATAAGGGACGTGCTTGCTCCAATGAAGTTATATCAAGTTTTTGCACCAATGGAAAGAGTAGCTGTTGACATTGCTGGCCCTTTGCCACAAACTCGTGCTGGGATCAGGTACATTTGTGTGGTGCTCGATTATTTCACCAAGTGGCCTGAGGCATATGCAATACCAAATCAGGAAGCTACAACTGTAGCTTCAGCTATTAGTGATTTCTTCTCAGGTTTGGTATGCCATATGAACTGCATTCAAATCAAGGCCTTAACTTTGAATCAGCTGTGTTCCATGAATGCTGCAAGTTGTTTGGCATACAAAAAATCAGGACAATGCTACTTCACCCCTGGTCTGGTGGGATGGTAGAAAAGTACAATTAGACACTTGGACAGGAAATGGCAAAGTTTTGTATTAGCTGCCAATATGACTGAGATGTCTTACTCCCTCTGCTGTTAATGGCCTATAGAACAGCAGAGCATGAAGCCACTGGATACACTCCAGCAAAGTTGATGTTTGGTCGGGATCTTCGGTTGCCAGTGGATCTGGTAACAGGATGCCCACCTTATGAAGAGTTGCTTGAAAATGTGTCAGAGTTCGTGAAAGTGCTATCTGAAAAGATGGATGATATTCACCATCAAGTGCATTCAAACTTGAAAACGTCTGCTGATTACATGAAGCTATGTTATGATAAGAGATTTACTGAAGTCAGCTTTGTACCAGGAAGACCAAAGGGACGTATCCTAAGTTGTCTTCTCCATGGGAAGGCCCATATGACATAGTGGATCATCTCTGAGACGTGACTTTCCGAAGAAAATGTGGTTGGCGAGGTTAGCCAAAGGTGGTGCATGCCAACAGGCTTTGGTGTTATCACGGTCCAGGACATTTCAGTTGGAAATGAACAACGGAACAAATGATGCTGCTGAAGATGTGAAGTTACTACCACTGATGTGACTGCTACCGATAATGCGACATTTTCTGATGGAGTAGATTAACCCCACATTGGAATGGAAGAAGACATGTCCTGTAGAATTAAGACTTTGTTGTATTTTAATTTTGTGATTATAAATTCTGTACATTTAATCAAGTCATTGTTAATTATCTGTTGGTTTAATGTAAGTGGCTATTGTTCAGGATGAACAATACTAAAGAAGGAGAGTGTTACTACAGCGGAAGTGACACAACACTGGAAGCATGTGTGCTGGAGTTTCTCGAAGGATCATGAAATTTCCTGGCGCCCTCTTTTTTAGTATATAAGCCCTGCTAATAAAGCCAGCGAATTGCATAGATAGATAAATGTAGAGATAGATAATTGAGTCAAGTGAACAGTATGCATCATAAGTAAAATGTGTGAACCACTGTGATTATAGTGTGTTTATAAAAGTAGTTAAGTTAAAGTGACTGTGGAAATTCTGTGTATTACAAAGTTGTATCGAGAAAGAATAAACTAGTTTTATTTAAGAAAAGACTTGTATCGTTGAAGTTTCTCGGAAAGAATTTTTACCGGAAATTAACAAACGAACAGAGACGTAACAGTATTGTATGGAGCATCTCGTTTCAAGGACCAACAGTAATTAGCCATCATACTAATGTTCCACCTTCCATGATACATCCTTTCCATTTCCCTGATGTCTTGTTGAAACCTTGTGTGAAAAGTTGTGGTTCACCAGACGTTTCAGGTTGAAAACAATCCCTATCATCATTTGTATTGAGATC